ATTTTTCAGATATAAAAATTATTATAGTATTACTATCTAATACTATCTAATATACAAAATATAATTAAAGTATTATAGTATAAATAATTATGAATAGATTATGTTAAAGTATATTGAAAGATATCAAAGAATATTAAAGAACATCAAAGTATATAAAAGAATATTAAAAGATATAGAAAGATATAAAAAGATGTGAAAAGATATGAAAAAACATGAAAAGATGTGAAAGAATATTGAAGAATATCAAAAAATAAGAAAAGATATTTAAGATTATCATCTAAGTGTAACTGTTTCATCAAAATAAAAAATGATCTTTCACTATACTATTTTATTATGTATATAAATATCATATTACAAATAATAATAAAATATAGATCTCAAATATTAAATAAAATATCAAGTTTAAAAATAAAAACATAATAATAAATATAGTAATAAATGATGTAAAAATAGAAATAATTATAAAATAAATAAAAATTATAATAAAATATGATTTTGCATAACTAGAAAAAGATCAAGGAATTAAGAAATTTTATATCACTATGATAATACTACTAAATTTATTATTTATAATAAAAACTAAATAATAAGATTAATTGTAAAAAATTCTGCAAAAATTAATATATATTTTATTTTAACTATTAATTTATCTAAAATTTATGATATTATAAATTTATTTATTTATATTAAAATTTATATTTACTATATTATAAAAATATTTTTGATTTTTTTACTTTTTAAATATAAATAAAAAAATAATTCAAAAAAATTTTAAATGATAAAATTAATTTTTATAAATAATAATACTATTTATAATTTCTTTAATAAAAATAATAATTATTTTTTACTAGATACTTTAGAATAGGAAATTAGAATTGATATTTCTGATATTTGTTTTTAATATATTACATAATATCTTTGACTAATTATATTAAAATTTGAGAAAGTTAAAGCTGGTATAATAATTATATTATTCTTAAATTATAAGTCATAATATATTAAATTAATATAATTATAAGCAAAATAATAAAAATAAAAACTATTATTATTTCTAAATATGAATATTATTCAAAAATTCATTCTGTTTTGAATAATAAAAATATAAGATATTAAGTTAATTAATATTTTTTTATATACAAATTTAAATTAAATATTAAAAAATTTTAGATTTTTATTATAAGATAATCTTTTTTAAATATTTATATTAAGATTAGTCATATTATTTATAAGATTATAATATGTAAGTGACTTAATATTCTTAACTAAAAATAGAAAAAATATTAAAAAAACTATATCATAATGATCTTGAAAGAGAAAATATAATTAAATATTAAAAATTATTTCTTTAATATATAGAATCTTTTAAATTATATATTTTAATAATTAGATAATTTAATAAATCAAATTAACTAGTATCATTATTATATGAAAATTGTATATTTTTATCACTTATAATAAAGTAATTTTCTTTTTAATAACAGAAAAAAAGCTTTTTAAAATTTAAATAATGAATAATTACTTTAATTAAAATTTACTAGTATTAGTTTAATAATTAATAATTATTTATATAATATAATTAGATAATTAAAATTAAATTCTGTAAAATAGATATAAAATTTATTACTTTTCTTAAATTAATAAATTTCTGAAGAAACTTGTATAATTATATATTCTAAAAATAATTAGAATAATTATTGAAATAATAAGAATATTATCAAATAACTTAAAGAAAAAGTAATTCTAATATTCAATATAATATATCTAAATTATATTATAATTTTTACTTTTGATAATAGTATTAATTATTATTTATATACTAAAGATACTTTATTAGCTAAATGAATAAATCTTATATCAGATAGACTTTTAATAATAATACTATTTATGATTTATATATTAAAGATACTTTATTAGCTAAATAAATAAATTTTATATCAGATGATATTTAATTAAAAATATGAAATATTGTAATATGTGATGAAAAATCTTAATTAATAATTTTTAAAGATAAAATAGTTAAAGATTTATAAGTTATTTTAAATAAAAGAGAATATAATACTACTAGATTATAAAAAATATATCAAGTATATATAAAAGATTAATTTGAAAGTAATAATTATTATGCAGTTTATATTATATTACTAGAACTAGACTTTGTAAATTAATAACTATTACTTCAAGAAATTATAAATTTAGCTAGATATGAAATTATTTTTTATTTAAAATTTCATTATGAACTTAATTATATTAAAAACTTTTGAAGATAAGCAAAAATATATATATATAAATATTATGATTATTCTTTTAATAATCTTAAAAAAATAGTTTTAAATGCTCTTGAATCTATTTTTTTGATTTAAATAAGATATTATTCTTAAAGAGCACTTTATTATATGAGTGCTTATAGATTAGAATTATTTGCAAAACAGATAATTTTTGCAATAAGAAATTATAGATCTCATAGAAGAGTTTCAGATAGTATTTTGAAAGAATTAGATAAATTTGAATAATTAATATTAATTTTGGCCAAGTATTTGTAATTTTGATTAGCATTACTAATGCTAACTTTAATTCTGGCCAAAATTTAAGTGTTAAAATTTGAAAACTTCTGATTAAACAAAAATTTTTGAAATTATAAAACTCAAAATATATAATAATTTTCAAAAATCTGACTCTATTATTTGTTATTTAAGTTAAAATCCTTGGAATAATAGAAAGTATTTATTAAATTATATAGTATAATCTTTTTTTATCTAAATTAAATAATTTATTAAATTTAATACAAAATTGATTTATAAAAAGTCTTAATTTAATTAAAAACATAATATTTCAAATAAGCTAATCTGCTAATTTTTCTTAAATATATAATATTTAAATTTACAAATAAATTGTTAAAAATAAAGTGAATATTTATAATAAGTTATTTTATAATATAATCATATTAATAATATAATATAAAAATTATAAAGTTTCTTTATTTTAATGAATTATCAATTATAAAGTATAATATTTTATTTATTTTAAAATATTTTTTTGTATAACATACTCATATATTAGCAATTTATTATAAAAAAAATCCTCACTATAAAGAGTTAGCAATAAAAGAATATATATTATTAATGATTTTCTTGAATTTGTATTGTGATAAGTTAAAATATTTTATAATTATAATTGAAATAATATGATAAATTAAATTTATTTTTTGATGACATAATAATATTTTCTTGTAATCACATCTTTGACAGCATAGTAATTTTTTTGATATTTGAGTATATAGTGATATTACTATAAGTTTTATCCATGAATATTTTTAAGCATAAGTGTGGATTATAGAGAGACTAACAAGTCATACATGTAATATAAACTCATTTTTGTAAGTCATCATATATTATACAACCCAATTCATCATGATGTCTCAGGATACTAATGATTTCTGGGCTCAAGCTACCGCTAACTCTATCCGTTAACGAGATCCTAATTGGAGATGAGTTACTTTGTTGTCGTTCACAAAATGTTTGCCAGACTTTAGGAGTATACTTCCAGCATCCGTGAATAGAACAACTTCTTAGTGACTTAGAAGAATTATCGGCAATTGCTGTAACAATTTGATCTCCATCTTGGACGATGTCAACTTTCGAAATCAACATTATTGACTGCACGTGATGACATTTCGAAAACAAGTAAGCTAAGCCGGAAGCATCTTCGGATCTTATTGGAATCATTAATTCAACTATGCGCGGACAGTGATCTCCGACGGCTTTAAGCAGCGAACTGGTATTTTCAGGATCATATGTACTCCATTGCAGTTTTAAAACCTCCATTTGTCCCTTAGTTGTTTTAATGATTCGGCTTAATCTTTCAAGGTCCAAATTATTTAACTTCAAGTCAAGCTTTTGGAGTTTTGGATATTGCGCATTTCCTAACACCACAAATGTGTCTTTTGGAATTTTGCAATACAAAATGAGATCTTTGAGATTTTGACATTGAGTTAATGTATCCGGAGATATGCTCAAAGTTTCAGTGCATTTAACATAGGTTATTTTTTCCGTGTGCTCTTTCAATGCTTCGTCGAATTTAGAGTTTAATCGATCACTGACAAGTTTTAGTTTTTTTATACCACGTTGAGTGCGAATAAGTTGAATTAAGTCATTATTTTCATCATACAAGGAAAGGTTAAATACTTCGATATCTGTTGCTGATTGTGAAAGAGAGTTAAATGTAGCAACTGGGATTTCATTTGGATAATTACATACTAAAGACCTAATTTTTGCCATAAAGTCTTGTGCATTTGGTAGTAGCTCATGAATTGGCATCTGGGTATTATCGTCATATATAATGGATCTTTGAGATAAGACAAATTTAGAAGTCAATTTTTTTCCTCGTATTAATAATTTGAGAATCTCTTTTGATAAAATATAATTTTTTCGATTTAGTGCGTCCTCATCAATTGTTAGTGCTGTTGATGATTTACTAATCCATTCTCGTGTCGCCCAGCCTACTAGTTGCGGATCTAACTTTCGGATGAAATTTTGGTAATTGAATAATGTTTTGCTTTCAAGGTGATTATTTGGTAATTGGATTCCATTTTCTTGAAGCAATTTTTTCGAATCGTACGGTAGACAAGTTATTAAAGTTCTGATAAGTTGTTCGCTTCTTTTCTCTTGAAAAGTTACGTTAATTTTTCGTTCAAATGGTTTCAGCCATATAAAATATAAGACACATTCGCACCATAGTCGACTTATAAACAAATATTGATATAGGGGAACTTTATTGGCATGGCATTCCGACAAGATCTGATTTAAACATTCTGCTGGTAAAAGTGGTGCCGCCATTTCTACCGTGTACGCGTATTTGGTTGGTGAGGAATTAAGGAAGTATTGACGAATAGAAAATAAAAGTGATAAGAGAGTTGAAAAAGCAACGCGAATTAGTCTAATCATCAATTGAACAACACGTTATCGTTATCATTATCGTTATAACATATGTTTTTGGGTGAAAACTTATATCCCAATTGGTGGTTTAGAAAAATTCTATCATTATTTAATCAATATTTATATGCATCTACTATTAAATATTAAAAATTTTCGGAAAAACGCTGTTACTATTCAGTCTGTTTGTCCTACATTTCATGAAGCAAACGCGTGTTATCGTTATAAACACGTTATTCTAGACTTTTTTGGTACCTATTTTTTTATAGAGTGGCACGAAACAATAACCGATTAGCTGGTTTTTAACCGGTTATCATTATAATCTATTTAGAACAATATTACACCAATAATTTATCTCATTTATGTAGAAGTCGACAATGCACTTTAGCCTTTCAGTTAGTACATGCACGAAATTGTGGAAACGGTAAAATCACACAGTTTTCGCGCTAATTTGACGAATCAATTCTAATAACAGCAGCCTTTTATCTCTCATTGAGATGACATATCGATATTGTGCATTATCCTTCTACATATTTCAATGATTGATTGGGTTATGATCTGCTGTAAGCTCCCGTTCATTTTTCATATTGTTACAATTTAAGTACGCTATTGTTTCAAAAACACGAGTTTCGCTAACTTTTACTCAAACCATATAGATTAATGAACGGCTAATATTAATAAATTAAATGAATTCTCTCTCTTATTTATAAATATCACAATCGAAAATTCTAATTCTACTTCACCATTGCTGAGTTTCTGCGTATTACTATACAGCACATCAAAGTTTCAAACGCACAGAACATGATTGTGCCCACTAAAGTAAATAAGTCTGATGTTGCAAATAAGATTGTAATAGATACTGTATGGGCTAAGCGCAAAATAAAAACGAAAAATTGTGTTCTAATTTAATACTTTTTTCTATTACAATTAGCCCAGCCGAGTACCGATAAATGTTCAGCATCCCGAATCTGAATTTCATTATGCATGCTTATTAAATAATAATTAAGTACACGCATATACATGTACATGTACTAATGTTTTGTTCTACTACATGTACTTATTTGTTATCTTTTTCTTGAAGTAGAGATAGAATTGCAATACTAATGTTTGTTCTACTACTTATTTATTATCTTTTTCTAGAAGTAGAGGCACTATGTTTTTTTTCAACACAAGCTCACAGATCTTTTTTATCAAAAACACAATCATTTCTATTTGTTTATCGTTATTTGTTTGTAACGCATGTACCCATGTACCGCCAGATATTAATCAGAGAAAAAAATTAATTCCTTAAACAAATCCAAAATTTTTAATCCATGACTAAAATCAATCTATTTTAAAAAACTAGGAATTTAAGCACACATGTACAATTATGCTTTCTATTTAAGTATTTTGTATAGCGCTGATTCAGTAACTGGGTACATGTTATTTTAGTAAATTGTGTCCAGTTTTACTGCAATTTTGCAGAGTTTGCAGAATTTATATGTGATTTGCATTTTGATACAATTACATTATAAAAATGATTTCCCGAAAATAGGCATCAATTTTGGATTTTTAGGGTTCGCTTATTTTCGGGTCCTTTCCGAACGCTTAATCTATATTTGGTCCAATGCCATTTTTTATTGCCCGATTTAGCCTTTTTTAGGGAATTAAAATTAATTTCAAAGTTCAGTTTACAAATCCATATGTAATCTGCGTAATGATTTAATTGTTGAAGAATTAGAATTAGAAGGTAATTTGATTTACCTATTTTTTAGAAAATTATTAGGGGTTGCTTATTTTTCGGGACTATACTGTATACGAAATTTTTAATAACTATTACATGTATATCAAAAGAATCTATTGAAAAGTTAAAAATTAAAGTTCATGTTTTATTTACAAATTTAAAAAACTTGGTAACTTTGAGACGCGATATCTCATCCAGTTTGAAAAAATGGACCGGTATTGATCTACACGTTTTCAGTTTGAGTTAATACTGCGCAGAAATGGTCCTAGACCCATGATGACTAAAATTTAGACGTCTAAAAAATTTGGATACTCTCGTTATGACGAAAAATAAATGCCAGTCCAAATTAAAATCTTTAGCAATAATATTAAATATCACATGATTTTCCAACATACTATAATTCCTTTTGAAACTTTTGAATTTTTCCTTTACGTAAATGATCAACTTTCTCGTTATGTACAACAAAACTTGATTAATTCTTGCCGATCTCGCGCTTTGGTGGTAAAAGTAATTTTTGGTAGGAGAATAGTATGTGAAAAAATCAGTCGCATGATCTCTGTAGTACGGTCATGCAAAATGCATGAATTGTCTTGAAAAAAATTCCTTAATAATCACTGAAGACAAAGTATATATACCTAAATTATCCTATAGACAGATTCAACAATCCCACACAACACGTAAATCCTTATTAGCCAAGTAATTTCTGCTTTAGAATGTACTCTCCAAGGCTTGATGAAGCCAAGTTGAGGGAGTAATTAGAATCTTCAAAAAAGCCGCAGAATCAAAATTGGAATCATTAATGTAATTTTTCTAAATCCTGCCGTTACAGAAATGATCAGCAAACGCGCCATTATTTACGAACATCGCTACCGGACAGTTATTGCAGAGGCTATTGACGTTTTGAGAAGAGAGAAGATACCGGTATCGTTGATGGGTTCAAATCGCTTGTCAATGCTTCGCTTATTTTCATACTTTTGGCAACGTATCTGTTGGTGAACGGGAAGATTTCAAATATTACAAAACAATGAGATATCATCGCTGAAACCGAGAACATAATATATCTTCAGTAAATCAATTGTTGACCATATCAAAAGTCTCGGCTGAGGAGCCTATATCGATAAAGTTGTGGATACTTACCAACATTCTATATGCCACGTGACTTTAACAGCTGTCACAAATCTGCCATAAAATTTTAAGGAAGTATTTGAATTTTTTGCTCGGTTGTGATTTTTAATTGTGTGTATAGACGGTATATGCCTATGAAAAATAAATGCATGTATACTATTTAACTACACTCGATAATATTCTTGTAATTTTTACGACTGTGAGGTTAGGAAAATGTGACCATATGCCGGTATGATTGTTATATGGTTAATTTGTCTGTGTTTTTCGTCATTCATAAACGCTGTGAGTCATACGTTGGAATTGCAAAATAAAACAAATAATCATTACTGTATATAGTTGTGGGAAATTTACCTACCGTCAGGTACATATAAACTGGCGTCTGTGTATTTTGCATCGATACCTATATCAAGTTCAGTAAGTCACATAGATCTTTCTTATATAGATTGTAAATATTTTCTCAAATGTCGTTTCTTGGCATATAGAATTAAATCATTACCGTTACCACTACACATGCGTAATTGTATAACGATATATAGAGATATAAACGCATTTTTTAAAGTGTACTTAAAGATGATCGAAAACTCATGATTGTAGTAAATTTATTGAATGTCAAAAAGTAAGTATTGCGTAGACTTTTCAAATATCAAACGAATTTATAACGAATTGCTTAACGGAGATGAAGATATCGATAATCTAATAAAAGGATGCAACCAATTAATAAAGACTTAAATTCGAATGAACTCCTTTTGAAAGATTTACCAACGTTGAATATCTTAAAAAGAGGAGGTTTCGGGACAACCTGAACCATTAAATGTAGAATGAGATTATGCAAATAAATTCAGACGAGATGAAAAACGGGATGTTGTATTGAAATTCAAAGTATATTACTCCAGAGTTTATAATCGAAACAAAAAATGACCTTGTTCCAAATGAAGGCAAATTAAATTTTTTCTAATATAATAAATATAATAAGTATTTGAAAATAGATTTTAAGTGCGATAATGATGGTTATTTATCTTATTATGGAACACTAAAAAACCTAACTGCGAATGAATTTTCAATAGTAATGACTCATATAAGAGATGGCAAACTTCGCGAATATATTACTTAAAACATATTCTAATTAAAAATTATTTGTAATGGCATTTGCAATTAGAACAAGATTTTCAGAAAATTTTGAGTAAACTAAATTTTATAGAACTTTATTTTTTATATAAAAAAATTTTTTCTTAATAAAGTTATAATATTTAATATGAATTTTATTAATAAATTTGATAGTGATTTCATAATACTGGTTGTTACTGTATCATAAAATATAATGGTTTTAAAAATAAGATTTTTGTAGAATTGTTTTTAAATTATTTAATTATTATTACTTTAATATAAGTATTTATTTAATCCTGAAAAATTATTATGAATTTTCTAATTTTAAGAATTATATATATTTTAAATAATTATTTGATACTTAATAAAAAAATAAATGATAACGCACGCGTAAGAATATTATAAATTTAAGTATAGTGTTTAAAGAATCCACGATTATCTAACAAAATATATACAGTAATATGCTTGATTTTACTGCAAAATTGTATATAAAAGAAATATAGTCACACCTCACTATAAAAACACTCTATATAAGAGTAAATTATTTATATGAACAATTTTCAAAAACAATCTTATTATAAATTATATCAAAGCTCCTCTCTCTATAAGAACATAATATCAATTTTTATAAAAGCAAAATTTGTTGTGTCCGATAAAATATTCTTTTTGTATAGTTTTACTAACGGTTTCCAGTATTATTTAATAAATACCCTGTATATATATTCGAATTGGAATTACGTGGGCGTAAAACGTCGTTGTGGAGTTTTTAACTTAGAGTAATCAGATTAGTGTATTATCTGAATGCTAATAGCAAGTATTATCTCAGAGGAAGTCTAACTTCTATAAACAATACAGCAACATTTCCAATAGAATTTGCATCTTCAACACATAAACAAATTTGTGCAATAATATAAAGACAAAGGTAGGTAGTTATGTAGAACTCGAATTAATAAATTATAGAGACAGGTCTAAGCCCGTGTACATAATTTTTGGAACGTTACCGGCTCTATGGGTCGTTATATGATATTGACTGACATAAAAATCTGGGTTGCTAAATCATTCATATTAATTTATATAATATTAAATTATTTAAAAATAATTAATAATTTATATAATATTAAATTATTATTTAAAAATATTATATTTATTTTATAATTTTTAATAATTATTTTAAAGCTAATTACAGGTATGAAGATCTGATCAGACGCAAAAACTATTTCCACTATCATCGGCTTCACAACCAGGTGTTTGGCAGTCATCACTAGACGCACAAGGATCACCCAGTTTACAATTTTGATTCTTGCCTCCCACTTTGCAGCCATTAGACAAATTGTGCACGCAGACGAAATTTTCACAAGATTTGAATACGCAGTCGGCATTAGATTGACAAGAAAATCCTGAATGGCAATCGCGTTTTCCTTCACCTATCGAACAATCGGCTATGTTATAGATGGAATTTTAAAGACTAAAATTTAGTTTTGAAAAATGGAATAATTATATTCACGATGTGAATATGAGATTAAGAAATTCCTTACCTTCAATGACCGGCATCCAAGCTAAGCTAAGCACTAGGCCCGAGATTATAAGGGTAAAGAAGATGTATTTCATGATGGATATGAAGAATCTATTCTTGTATAAATTTTTCTTCTCATCTAAAATATATATACGTGTACGGAAGCCATTCAATTAATTGATGAAACAATTTTTCATTATCGTTATATGATCCGAAATTACATGTAGTAGAAATCCAATTTTGGGAAGTAATTTATCGATCATACACCAATTTACACTACATGTATTGATTTTGCAATTGTCTAGCCCCAAGTGCATTGTAGATTTGTTTTAACTGTGGTTTTATCATGTTTAAAAATGGATAATTCAATTATTATAGCAGAATTTTTTACTCATACAATCTTGCTATACGTTTTAATTTTATTTTCTTATCAAACTTCTATATGTATTTTTCTTTAAAGTTCATTCATTGAGATAAAAATTCGAAATGATATTATGAAAATTCAAAATTTATAATAAAAATGATAATTAAAAACAAATTTATTATTTAAAAATTTATTTGATATATTTAGCAAGGCACTATTACTAAATTTATTAGATAAAAACGTTTCTTATTTTAAGACTAAGCGCAGAATAGCAAACTTTATTAGACTTACAGATCTCCAACAATTAGAATGTGTTAAGCACGCGAAATGAAAGATCTACCTTCTTCTAATACAATAAGTAACGATTTTACCTGTTAATATCTTATATTAATAACATTGTGGTAATTTTAACTAATATTTTAGAGGGCGGAACAGAACTTGATCTTAAGTAGAATAATTACAATATCTCTAATAAGAATATTATTGTTATTATATTTAAATATGATTGTCAAAATTTATTTTATATGACTAAAATTAACATATATTAATTGTAGTTAAAATTTACTTCTACAATTTAATTAATAAACTCAAATAATGAATAAAAATAAGATAAATAAAATAAAGTGAAGAGTCATAAAACAAAGTAACCCCGACAGTTCATATTCCGACAAACAAAATCCCGAATGTACGAATCCAAAATGAGCAGCGTCCCGATAGTATAACATCCTAAATGCGTGGAATATCAAGATTATCACGATAACGGGATTTCGTTCATCCGGAATGCCTTCATTCGGGATTCCGGTTACCAGGTATGAATTGTCGGGATTGTGTTTGTCGGAATTTGAACATCATCGATTAATACAGAACCATAGCGAAATATTGTGGACACTTTTAACTTTAAATACCAAGCTAAATAGGCAAAGATTAAAATAAAATAAAAATTTTAAATTCTTGTTTAAAAATTATTAATTTTCGTATTGATGAAAAAAGAAATTTTAAATTCACATTTTACAAAGTTATCTATTATAATAAAGAATTTTACTATATATAATTAACAAAAAAGCTTAAATTCTTAAATCTATTATAAATCAATAAAATTATTCAAAATATATTAATTTATAAAATAGTTTATTTAATTAAAACTTTTTACTAAATAAATTTAGTAATTGTTTAATAAATAATGTTTTATTTAAAAAATAAATTTTGTATTTTAAAATTTTTATCCAGATAAATAAATTACCTTATTGTATAATTAAAATTTTATTGAAAATTTCATATAATTTAATAAATAAATTTACTTAAAATAATATTAAAATTATTTTTAAAATTATTTATTAATAGTTAGAAAAAATAAACTTTATATATATAACTCTTAAATTTTTTATTAATTACAACTAGTAAAATGTATATTTTTTATTATATATAAAGATTTTAATTTTATTAATAAATTTTTTTATTTTCAACTCAAATAAAGATTTTTTTGAGATATTCTAATTGTATATAATATCAATTAATTTTTACTTAATTGTAATTAATAAAAATTAAATACAATTAGAAAATCTGAAAAAAAATATTAAATAGAGATAAAAATAAAAATATTAATTAATAAAATTTAAAACTTTTATGTATTTCACTAATTATAATTAATAAAAATTCAAGCTTTGTATTAATTTTGATTATTACTATGTATATGAGATCTTCCAAATTTTGTTAATAAATAATATATCAAAATAAATTATGGTTTAATATATATTTTTTTCAGATTTTTAGATTTTTCTGAAAGTATTGTTTTAATGGAAAATTTTTTTCTAATTAAATTTCATTTTAATTAAAAATATTTTGTGAAAAATTTGCAATTAGAATAACTCTTTCAGAAAAATCTGAAAAAATATATATTAAACTGTCTCTTAATTTTATATAAAAATAAAATTATTATAAAATTATGAACTTTATTATAGAAAGTAAGTTTCCAATTTTTGCTATGTTTTTTTTTAATAAAATTAATCGCCAGATGCCATAATTAAGGAGTTAACTGTATATTTTTATTATTAAATTTTTATCTTATATAATAAAATTACAATAAACATGTATGTTTATAAAAAATTTTTCTGAATTTTAATTAAAACAATTAAATTTCCCTTAGTTAAGTTCCATTTTTTAAAAGATAATTGATTAGCTTCACTTCAAATGATATAAAATTTATAATATTACAATAAGAATACTGGAAACATTGTATATGTATGAAACATAAAATTCCCGTTCGTGACTCATCTGTGATCAATAATGATTTTTAAATTAAAAACCTCTCCGTTCTTTATTCTCTTAATTCACTTGCTTTTGCTGAACCCCATTGTAATCAATTTTAAGGAAGATTAACTTAAGTTTAGTGTTAGAGTTGAGATTATAATTGTATATAAAATTGACTCACCGCCATTTTTAATTGGGGTTTCAAGCATCCATCACCTGCATTTTTCATTTTTTTCACATCACATTTTTTTTATATCAAATTTTGATTTATTTGTTGTCAGATTGATAAAAACGGATGAATCAGGAACGGAAATTTTGCACGTAAGAAACATTTACCGTAAATTCAGAAAATAAACACACTGAAAATAAGTATAACACGCTTATAATCATTAGATTACCAATACTGTATTAAATTTATATCTTCATGTATGAGATACATCTAAGATACATAAAATTTATGTCTACTGTAACTGGTTATTAAAAAACGCATAAGTAACTATCTACACTCGAGGAATACAAAATGATAAGTCCTATAGGTTACATGATGGGATCAGATGCTAGAATGACGTATCCTAATTATGTATTCTTACTTGCTAATTTTCACATTTCGTTATTCGTATTAATAAATTAAATTTCAATTACTGTATAATCAGTCAAATATATATGACATGGCTACATGTGGATACGAGTCTTTGTCGTATCTATGCGGTAATCAGGTATAAAAACTCTTTTTTACCTTGTTAAAATATAAAAATTGTCTTTTATTTTGAGATAAAACCAATGTTTATATAAATTACTTAACTTATTTATAAGAATAAAATTAGCTTCAACATAATGCTATCAAAGAAATACTGTATATGTAAGTTTAAATTCAATAAATTTCTTCGAGTGTCTCAAAACATGTGAGTGAAGGCATTTACCTTATTCTGATATATATATATACGACAAATAAGAAGTATGAGAATATCTTAAAACAGAAAAATGGATTCCCAAGAATTTATTGATTAACACGCGTAACCTCTTTATTAAAATATGAACTTGAGCGGTTTTATTTTTTCTTGTTACTTCTTTATAAAAAGTATAACTCTATTTCGTATTATCGTCGTTAACTGATTCACCGCAGACGGAGAATTATCTTTTATATTCTAATCTTGACAAATGCTACGGCATTTTTATTATTGTTATAAAATTATTTTAAATATTGTAATATAGATATTTTTTTATTTTAAATTTTAAGTTAAATAATTGTATGTAGCTATTTTTAACAGATGCAACACGATCCAAATCATACACCGTATGAAATAGGTGTTGAAATATAGAAATGTAAACTAGCCCATATACATGAACAGTCACAGTACCCTCAAAAAGTATCGCCCGGTTCAAAATTATATAGTGAAACATATAAAAAATGGAAATTTTTAAGCTATATCCATATTTAATTAGCTGTATTTTCAAAGAATGATTTCTATCAGTGAGATAAAATGCTGTTTAATTATAAAATCATGAAAAAAATTTTATAAAGTGAATAGGTATTATAGCACGTAATCCACTGATCAGAATCGGATGGTTTTTTATACCGTTTGATTCGTCTTGTTGAGAAGAAAAACGATATAAAAATCACTTGATTCTGATCGAAAGATATGGGCATTATATCGATGAAGAATTGCGCATATTTGATTATAGCACGCAATACACTGATTAGAATCAAGTAACTTTTACAGCATTCGATTCGTCATGCCAAGACGAATCGAATAATTGGTAATATCTCACCGCACATCAAAAATTTTGGCGAAAATTTGATGTTCAGGGATACGGCGTGTTATATCTCCAATACCTGGTGTCTGAATCACGTGACAATATCACCATTTGATTCGTCTAGGCATGACGAATCAAATGGTGGTATTTTTATGCGATTATTACTAGTTATCGAGATATCTCATATTTTTAATGTTCGTTAAAATGCCCCTACCCTCCCTAAAAATCCTATTTTATATTACATATTGTAACGATTATTTTCACTCCAAAAGCTCATTGTTCCACTATTTTTTTTGTGTTAAATTTATTCTGAATTGAGTCTAACTTGTATGCTATTATGAACTATCAGATTTTCTTTCAATTAATAAAGTTTTTATTACAATAACTTTAACTTCGTCATAATACCCCTTTTACCTTATGGTTTACCATATAATTTTAAATCGGGCAATACTTTTGAGGATACTATACACGTATCAGCGGGTATTCGATCTTGAAATTTATGTATTAAGAATTTAAATAATACAAACTACGTACAGATACATGTATAACATGTTTTTTATCTTAACAACAGCTTTACAAATTGGTTTTAACTACGTGTACATGTACCATAATGTATATCGATATTACATGTGATTGGCTGCCATTTTAAGAATTTAAAAAAGAATTCTGATTCCAAAGTACATGTACATGCGCATTTAGTGAAATGTTACAATCACGATCATTAAAAGAACACATCCCTAATTATATGTAACACAATTACGATGAATCTTATAACCACATGCAGCCCTTTTAATGATATAAAGATTCTTTCTCTTTTTATTTAATCATATCGTTAGTCAAACCAAAATTACAATTAACGTTAATGTATAACAATTCAAAATTCAGATATTGCCAGACGTACCCAGTATTAATCTAATAATATACTGTATACGCAATGGCAACACCGGTTCCAGAATATGAAAAAACGTTCTGGAAATTTGAAGAAATTTTAGATAATTTGGAGATGACAGTCACTTCTTGGTTTACAACTCCATTGGTACTTTTAATAGTTCGGTCGATATTTTTGATTTATAGTTTGATTACTTTGGCTTTATCTATATATGATGAACTTCAAAGAGGTCGATTACCTATGTATCTGACGTGCTTTACGAATCTAGGATTTATTGGGCTAACAGCGTATTTTACGGTATGTATGCGTTGGATTGACAAAAAATCATAATTTTGCGTTTGAGCTAAATTATTCTTTAATTTTGATAGATGGCAGTTATTCATTCTTTGACCTTTGTGGTATGTAATGAGCCAAAATCGCTTTCGACTCAACCACGATTGTTGACAATTGCTTTTTGGATATTATACCATACTATTATAGTATACCAGTAAGATTAATTTTTCTAGCCTATTGATTAATTTATAATACCGTATAAATGATTGAAGAATTTTATTTTTAGCATTTTAATACCAATTGTTTATTGGGCAATTCTTGTTCCATCTCATACTGAAGAATCACCACTTTTAGCATTTCACGAAATTTCAATGCACGGTGTTAATTTTTTTATGATGATTGTTGAAGTGGCGTTGAATAGAATACCTTTAGTTGCATCGCATTTGATTTTCGTCTTAACAATTTTGATTCTTTATATATTTGAGACATGGATGAACAATGCAATGTAAGCGATTACTTAAGATATCTTTCCATGTCATGTTCAATATTTTATTAATGACTTTAATACTTTTTATCTAGAAATAGTGAACCATCATATATCCTTGTTGTTGCAGATTGGCGAGAAATACCAAAAGGGATGACAATAATACTCCCTTATCTTGTAATGATAGGAATCGCAATTGGTGCATTCTTAATACAAGCATTGATACATACATTTCGTGACGCAATTGGACGAAGGATATGGCGAAAGCATTTGATGCAGGAAATGGAAACGGTTCCAAGAATTGACGAGAATCGACAGGGTATTGCTATTAGCAATAGAAAAATTGTGAGGACATCTGCTAATATTGATTTTAATGACATTGAAATGCAAGCGAGATGAAGTCATCACTTTTGCTGTGCGAAAGGTGAATTCGTTTTTAATCTATACTTATGCAATATTTGTCAATTGAATTTATTCGCTTTTAAGAAACCTTCCATCCATAAATTTATTGCAAGTTGCAATCAATTTTTGAATAATAATAAATTGAATTTCTATTGAATTTTAATTAAAATGGACATATTGTCAAAAAATAAAAACCTTGATGATGCTTTAACTATTCAGAACATTAAATAGAATTACTAACCGTTCAGCACTATATAGTATCCCTCAAAAGTAATACCCTCTGTGATTTAGACCTAAATTTCGCTGTTTATTTTAATTTAAACTTGAAATATCCGGACCGGATCTTTTTCTGTTAATATTTATTAAATATATTTAAACGTTAGTTCCAAATACATGTACCGTTTGCTACGCAGGGTCTTATTCAAGAATTCCATTTTTTAAATTGAATAGTATCCGTGGGTACTTTGTATAGGACCGGGCACTATATTTGGATATAAATGATATGAAAAGTAATAAATTAATATATGGTTATACCCGGGTATTAATCAAAAATTAAGCCAGCATGGTGATGGCAAGCACCCGGGTCTTAATCATTGAGAATACTATTTATGGGTTACTGCACGCAGTAGTAAACGGTATTAATATTTCCCTCCTCCTCTTGCTCATAAATAAGTCAATATATCTTTATTATTATCTATTTTAAGTCACGTAGAATTTCTATACACAATACACCAAATATAATATATAGTTATACACGAGTACTATCCAATTTCAATAGTATATTTTGAATGATAGATATTATACACAGTGCTAAAGGCATTTTTGTGCCAAGTTCTTTAGAAATAAGTATTGACATACAAACTATTAATTAATATACATTAACTGGCTTTACCCGAATACAAAACTTTAAAATGTAAGTATCTGGACTAGACTGATGAATAGCGGAATTTATTTATCAACCAATTTGTTGATTAATTGAGCACTATTCCTCTATATTATATTGGAAATAGTTTTTGTATTCAAATTAGCTTTAAAGTAGAAGAAATGAGCAGGAAATAAATAGGTACGAAATCAGGATGGATGAATTCTTCGGGCAATCGCTTTCAAAATAATTGGAGTAAGCGGAAGCAGCATACATGATACAAAATTTAGATTTCATGTTTTTACATATTTATTTTAAAGAATTTGCTATTTATCGCAGGTAGACTACACATAAAAGAAAATTTCGAGTTCAAATGATTTTAAGGGGGAAACCGACCAAGTTGCAAGATCAATTTGTAACGAAACTTTTCCTATGAAACTATTTTTCTGTGTCCTAATAAAAAATGATCCTTGCGAAATTTTCAATCTAATATCGCAATCTTATAAGAACAATATACAATATAATCATATCTCTGGCTCTAACTAAATTTTTCATATTTTGCAATTTATTTGTTAACCCTTAAAACTCACGTGATAGGAATTTCATGCCAGAAAACACCATTCTGAAGAAAGTTAAGTTCATCTATTAATTGATATTAAATAATTAAATGAATCAGTGATTCACGAAAATTAATCCCCATTTGAATAATTGGTATTTGCTAACTTCAAATGATATTTTTAAGATAATTTACATTTAAATTTTAATATGATTAGAATCAGTATTATCTCTATAAAATGGTATTATTCTAGTAGTAACAATATATAGTTCGCAAAATTATAGACTTATCAGATAAAATTTTTTTAATAATTCTTTTTAAGTAATAATTTATATAAGTATATCATGAACTGTATTACAAATTTTAATATAACTAATTAGTAAAATTTATTTTATTTTTATTCTCCTTTTATGATTAAAGTTTGACTGAAATTATATATTACTAGCCAGAATTAAAGTCAGAAAATTGATTATGCAAACAATTTTTTGCTATTATAAGTTTTCTAAAAAGAAAATACTTATATAATATGGGATAAAAAACTATAATTATTAATTTTCTTCATAAATATTTATTTAAATAGCATAAAATTTAAATATATATACTTATATATATGATAAATAACTTTATTTAAGAATACTTGAAAATTTATCTTATTAAAATTTTTATATTTTTATTACTTTAAAAATATATTTTTATTAAATTTATAATAATTTAATATTTAGTTTATAAATTATTACTATACTATATTATATTATATCTAATTTATTATATCATAATTATTCACTTTTATCAAGATAAGTCACATAATATATTAAGTTATTTTAGTTATAAAGATATTAATAAAAATTCTTTTTATTATTATTTTACTAATATAACTAGTATATTACTTTTTTTATATTTTTTATTTATAATTATTTATTTATATATTTATATATTAATAAATATTTTCTAAAGATACTATTAATTATAATTTATTTTAAAATACTATTTTTGTTTTATATTTTTAATAATCTTAATATTTATAATTATAATAAAGTAATAAATTCTAACTAAAATAATTTATTTATCTTTAACTTAACTTTTTATATGAATCTTTTATTAATATTTTTATTATTATCTTAATTTTTGATATAAATTTTTTGATAATTTATAATATATAATAGAAAGATTATAAATTTAATATAATTTATTTAAATTATATTTAATAATAAAATTATGTGATTTTAAATCTTTTTAAAGCTTTATAAAAAT